CAGATTCGATATTCTCGTTGATGGCTACAATAGTCAAGATAGGAATTCAGTTCGTTATTATCTTCTATTCCGAGCCCGTGACAACTATGTTGCCGACACCTTCCACTGCTTTATTGACCTTGAGAATGAATACTGTGAGCAGATGGATGAAGAGCTTGTCCAGAACCTTCGCAATGAGCTTCAGGACAAAGGGAACCAGATTGATGAATTGATGGCAGAACGGGATGAGTACAAGACGGCCTATGCAGAGATGCAGCTGCGTTCCCGTGGTTCCACTGTGGAGAGCACCAAGCAATCGAGCAAGTCGGAGAAGGTGCCTGATCCTCCACTCCTCACTGATGGCAAGGAGCCTAAGTTTGAGGACTGGATGATCGAGATAAAAGGAAAGAGGCAGGCCTGCCGGCGACGAGCTATCTAATGTGTGCGAAGGGTTTAAGCGAGGCTCAGTGACTGTCCATGCTCAGTGAATGTCTATGCTCCGTGACAGCCAGAAATAGAAACAAAGAAAAGAACCCCTGAAATTTCTAACATTTTTCTGAATACTAAAAATCAGTATGATAAGATTACTTGAAGACTTTCCTTACAAATTCTGCGGCCTTCTGCTTAAGGCAGAAAAAGGCAACTGTTCGGAATGTATACCCTCTGTAATCGGCTCCACCCCCCTGTGTTGAAAAGCTATTTCTAAATCTCATGGACATCTCTTTTTATTAGGGATGTTCTTTTGATAGCCTATGTGTTAGGGGTTGAACTTGAGTTGTCTTAACTAAAAGCTACCCTTTATCGTACAAGAAGGAATCATTGAAGAAGAAACAAATGGAGCAGAAGCAAAGGCAGTCTTTTATGGACATCCGGGGATGACACTCTTTCCTTGGAAGTCAGGAGTCATACAAAGGAGTCACCGCTAGTCCTTGTATGCAGAGGGTTTGTATGAAGGTTGTCAATAATTGATTCAGAACCCTTGCAGGTTGCATTCCGTGCTGGCCTTGGCCGAACCTGTCATCTTTTGGGTTCGTACGAGAACCCCATAACATGCCAAACTTGCTTGGATGAAGCGCCAGGTAACCATAGTTTTGTTGGAAAATCAAACCTATGGGTCGAATCACTGCCACGCGAATAGAAAGAAATGAATGGCCCAATTACTTACCAGCCATCAACTTAACAGGCAAATTCTACTTACCTATTATTTTTTTTTTTTAATCTACAAAATAGCTGGACAAGCTAATGGCACTTTCGTGCTGAAATTGTACAATCATACTTTTTTCTTCAGCCTCATATTGGAAAAGACGGGCCTGTAAATCTGCAGGGCCTTTTTAATTTCACAGTGATTTGGCTCAACGATATAGTCAAGGGAAGAATAGACGGGGTTAAAAAGCACAGGATTCAAATAAGGAGACTCAGGCTTTGATAGAGCATGGTCTTGTATTTTAGTCAGAGACCAAAGGTATAGTTATAGCTCAGTAGTTTGGGTCCCGGTAGTTGCAAAAATCCTACACTTTATGCAGAATGGCCGAGTCTGACAGTCACATGAACTCTAGTCAGACATTTACAATTGTACTTCGCCACAAATGTTACATGTGGCTGGAACAGATTAGAAATGGAAATGCCAAGCCTGAGGATTTCATAATTTGGTTCCGCGAGCGGATACCCTGGCTTATTGATCAACTTGAAGATCTTAGGAGACAGCACCGGGATTACTCAAGACTGGAGGAGATCATGATAAGACACACGGCAATACTTGAGAAATTAGAGAAAACTATACAGTAATTCCTGAGATCAGCTTACAGCGAGAGTCGAAAACAGATTCCCCTATATACACACACGCATTGTTTCTCGGCCCGTATCCGAAACCAGCCTAATTCTTATGTAGTTAAGCGGTAAATTATCCTATTCTAAGAATAGATAGGTTTTAATTTCAGAATGAACGCATTACATATAGTACTGTATATTACACGAAACTCATACACTTCCACAGTGCCCCTCCATGCCCTGGCCTCCATCCCTCTGCAGCACTACTATCTCGAGAATGGTGAGAATTATATGCACAATATGGCACCGAGATTACCCCCCTCAAAGTTACACTTCATTCATGATATGCTACAAAGCCAGTCGCTAACCACGTCTCAAATGGCTAACGCAGCTGAATGTAGCGAACGATCGATCAAAAATATCCGCAGAAACTTGCGGCAATTCGGAAGCGTCCATGCCCCTCCAAACCATATCGGTCGGAGGCGAAGCATAACACCACCTATGCTGGAAGCGCTGTGCGATCGTCTGCTTGAAAAGCTCGGTCTTTACCTCGATGAAATGGCTATCTTTCTATGGGACGAATTCCAGATGCTAGTGACTACCTCATGTATCAGGAGGGCCCTCGCGTTTAAAGGCTGGTCCAAAAAAATTACCCGGCAGAGGGCCAAGGAACAGAACGCAGAGTTACAAGAATTTTATCTTCACAGTATCTCGGAATTCGAATCGTACCACCTGGTCTACGTAGATGAGTCTGGATGTGATAAATGAATTGGGTTCAGACGAACAGGCTGGTCACCACTGGGTGTAGCTCCTGTACAAATGTCACAGTTTCACCATGATGAGCGGTATCAAATACTACCTGCATATGCTGAAGACGGTATTGTGCTTTCTTGCATTTTTCACGGTTCAACGGATGCTGCTGTGTTCAAAGATTTCATCAACCAGCTTCTTCAACACTGTGGAAGATGGCCGGAGCCAAAGTCTGTACTGGTTATGGATACAGTAGAATTCAAAAACAGTTTACCCCTTGGATATACAGGCTTCCTTTCCCAGTGCCCCACTCCGATTGCGCCAAGATCGATTCGGTTAGGGGAACTTCCACACTTTTTTCTCGATGTATCTCTGCTAGACCACCAAAATTATAGGTTTCGGCAGTTCACAGCCCATACTTGCCGAACCGCCCCATAGCTATACACTAGAATTCTGCCAAGGTACGGTAGAATGGAATTGAGCCACTCGGGCCCCTTAGACTGAGCTAAGGGAGACCTAAACGTACCTTATTGCCTTAACTTTTAGGCACTGATGACGTAACTAGTAAGAGAGGCCAAGTGTTTTTTCAGCTCATCCAGGTGGCGCATATTAAGTACACAGTCGCCCAACTTCACAAAATAGGTCAATTCAATTACCAACACCCCCGCTCAACGTCGATTCGACTGCCCGCAAGCATCAAATCCAAAATTTTGCCCTTGACCTTCCGTCCGCATATACCAACCCCAAGATGAGCGTCAATTTGCAGAATGTCAACGGTAGACTGGTGACCACAAATGTACCTTCAACCCTCTCTTTTTTCCCCTTCCCTGGAGTGACCGGTCACACTTGGACGCTTTTTCAGACATTGTGATACACAACGGGCCAGCTGAACTGAATACAGGTCGAGCCTCCGTCCGCCTGGACAAGAGATTATGAGGAGATGGGCGGGGATATGATGTGGGGTCCAGAAGGCGATGTATGCGAGCTTCTACGAGCAATGGGGATCAACGACAATGTGCAGCCTCTTTTTACCATGAAGTCTTACACTGGGGGGGCCATGTCTCTCCTCGAGGTCGGGAGCGGCAGCTTCTATTTCTACAATGCTAGCGATGAGTCGCTGTACGTCATCAATCACCCCTCTGATCTTAAGTCGATTGCTGCATTCATCGACGATGAGAATTTGGGACTGAATTCGCTCGACATTGAAGAATTGTAGATGGCAATTTGTGGCATCAGAATGGGAGGAACAAATAGATGCAAGCATTAATCACAACTCTTTGAATCAATGATCAGTGTATTAGCTTATGAGCATCGTGATTCAGCCCTCGCCCCAGCCAATACAATCTTGTGTTTACACTTGCCTATATTGACAGAAGTGATGCTTTAAGCGTGTTTTGCCCATTACCAATATCACATTCTTAGCCGCTTCACTAGTACATACCTTCAAATTCTACAACCTTGGCTGCCAGCGAAGATAGTGCCATCCCACCACCTGACTAAGAATTTTCAACCACGACGCGATAATCAGCACCCGGTTAGTCCAGCCTTGTTCAAGGAATGGGAGGGGTTCATCAGGGGTCTATTTTCTGCATGAGACATAAACAAGATTTTAGCTTTGGACAGCTCGTGAGATGTGAGTGGGGGTTTCAAATGACCATATTTGATTGATAACTTATTGCGTCCAAAAGAACGGATCTCATAAAGCCAGCATTTATGAGGCTACTACGCATTACAGATATTCCCTGAGGATTAGTTTAGAACTAGTTCGGTCCTATAACTAGTGTTATTGTGCCTTATTATCCTATCCTATACCTAGTTTACCCTATCCTTAACAGAAAGTGGTAATATGAAGCGTGGAGTTAGGATAAAGAGGGGTAGTGAGGTAGGAGTGTATTGCTAGCAGTTCTATGTAAAGTACGGTATTATACGTCAAGTGGCCGGTCTAATGTACAGGTCTATAAGGATAGCATTTGTTACGCTTTACTTAAATACAAATACAGATTAGAGTGGTCTTGGATACGGCCTGAGAAACAGACGGTTACTGTCTGGGCGGTAATCTGTTTTCGAATTTGGTGCATGGCAAATATAGTCTGCCCTCTGGCCGAACCTGTAATTACGGTAATTCTGGTGATCTACCAGAAATACATCAAGAGACAATAGTGGGGACTTTGACTGGCCAAATCTAGTCTAGTGCAATCTGAGTGGGGCGCTGGGAAAGAAAGCCAGTGTGTCCAGAGGGGTAAACTGTTTTTGAATTCTACTGTAATGCATCGTTTCACCACTCTGAATATATTGCGCAGATTTGTGCCGATGCTGGAGTCAAGTTGGTTTATCTACCTCCTTATTCACCGGACCTAAACCCAATTGAAGAGTTCTTTGCTGAGCTCAAGGGCTTCATAAAACGTAACTGGGGCTACTATGAAGGGGATCCGGACCAAGGATTCGATGCCTTCCTTGATTGGTGTATAATTAAGGTCGGGGCAAGAGAAGAGAGTGCTAGGGGCCATTTTCGGCACGCAGGCCTGACTATTGGAGAATAGGCTAATTGACAATCTGTTTCTGGCGACATCATTTCGTTGAGCGAGCGGACTCGCATTGAATCCAAAAAGCTACTACCTCTGTGTCCCAGCTCAAGATGCCATTTTATTCATTACTAGGTAAGGGAAAAATCATCTATCTGATATCATGCCGAGTGCCGTGCTAATACAAGCTTCAATAGAAGCTATTTGTGGGCACACAGAATGATTTATGGAGGTGCGCCGGCATGGCAGAAATCAATGATCATCTCTCATGAAAACAAAAACCAACACGGTTCATATCCTTCTCCAGCAGCTAGAAGTGGGCCATGAAGAGACAGAAATTCCTGGAGGGTAGAGTGAAAAAGTAAATCGTCATGATTGTTGTGTAGAACAATGATTTGGCAAGTATGTACAGCGCAGAGAAGGTCGCATCTATGCCATGGTACTCAGAGTTAAATCCTTGAAGAAGCTACAGAACCACTGTGATAAATACTGTATTCCTGCTCTTTATTGAGGGTGGTGAGCCTGACTGAATTGCAGAAACAGATTCTAGTGAGATCAGTTTCTGCTTTGAATACTTTCCATTTCCTCCATGGCCCTACTGAATGCTGGGGGTTGTTGGTGTGTTCTGAGATGGGGTCCAGGTCTTCTGCACATGCAGCTTTCTGCAGAAGTGCATGGACTAGATATCTTGCCTTGTCATCTGTAGCAGTGTGCAGTTGGTCTCCTTTCTTCAAAGGGGAGATGGGCAGAGAGCCTTCAGTTCTGTTCCACTTTACTGCATTGAAGATATCTTTGGGTTCCTTGAATTCATTGATTTTGGTATGCCAGTACTGTCATTTGCTGCATTGTACAACACATTGGAAAGTCTGTTTGGCTTCTTTTATGTCCTCTGTAGTAGTAGTAGTAGTAGACTAGTAGTTGCTATTTTACGTCGGAAAAGTGGCACGTGCGCTGGTCGCGTGCCCACAAAGATCCCGGAGCGGAATATACGACGGGCGAAGCGGACTCGCCTATCTAGTAGCTAAGCTAATTTTATCATACATACTGGCAAAGGCTCTCCCATAGGAGCCCGCCTATGATTATTGGGGCCGCGTTCAGCGGCGCACACATTCTGTGGAGGAAGGTAGGGGGCGAAAAAGGAAGGAGGGGTGTTAGGAGGAAAGTCATGAAGAGTTTTGAAGTGGAGTTGGTTAGTGCGCGGGGCATATTGTGTGGTAAAAGTGAGACCTCTGCAACCATTTATGGAAGTTTCTTGTCCCTGACTTAGAGCGCAGGACCTCATCTACCTGCTGGTCTCCCCATGGGTGTGGGGATGCCTTGTGGCCTTTCCGGCAGAAGTAGAAGTGGTGGGGGGTTTTTTGGCTCCCACATGAGCATTCTATCTTCGCATCTTCATGTCTAAAACGCTCGTGGTACTGGGCAAAGTCTCCATGGCCTGACCGGGCAGCAAGGAGTCGGCCGAGGGTGGCTCTGGGGAGAGATAGCTCATGGGGTCGTTTATCCAGGCCTATGGAGAGGTCCTGATATCGCTGTGGTGCGTTCTCAGCCCAGAAGGATTGAAATTGTCGCCAGAATTCTTTCTTCAATGTCCGGCGAGCCCAGGCGTGTCTTGCAGGAGGGGAGTTGGTCTGTGGGGTGGACCTTGCTCCTCTTTTTGCTTGGAAATCTGCCTGCTCGTTCCCTTCGATACCAGTATGTCCAGGAATCCAGTGGACGTGAACTTGCCCGGGTGGGATAGCCGGGCTCCGGGAAGACCGGTTGGGCCAGGCATCCATGGCTTCTTGAACAGCCCGGATGGTCTGTTGGCTAGAGCCTCTAGGAAGGCCCTG